TATTAAATTAAAAATGAAAACGGGGACGGGTACGGGTACGGGTACAGGGCGGGTAAGTACATACCCGTACCCGTACCCGATTTAATATATCGGGTTTTACCCGTACCCGTACCCGGTCAAACCGGGTATTCCCCGTCAAAGTCGGGACGAGTTCGGGTATTACCCGCGGGTACGAGTATATTTGCCATCCCTAGTTAGGAGTACTTTTCAGTGGAAGTATATTTGATTATTTTCCAATAATGGTTTATATTTTCTCTAACTGAACTTCAAAATAACATGATAGGATATCCAGTTGTTAGACAGTGTGCATACTGCATATTATGTGGACCCCAACAACTCAGATAAAAATGGTAACTCCTACCAGCCTGGTTGGGTACGTAGACTAAAATTATCGGCTTTTTGACCCATCTAAATAAATAAATAAATAAATACACGAAAAAAATTAAAAAAAAAAGTAATTACCAAAAGACCTCGAAGACGAGGAGATTCATGACGCCTCGGATGGTGAGGTTGAAACCCAACAGGAAGAGCCGAACCAAGACCAAGAGGGCGAGCCCAAGGTGCAAGGAGACGCTGGCAATAACATCGAAGAGTAATCGTTGTTGTAGACTTGGTACTTTTTTGTATGACAGGCCGATAGAGCCTTTTTACTTTGAGTGCATTGTTGCTGTGAAAGCCCTTTATTTTGAATGTACTATTGGCCGATAGCGCCTTTTGACGTTTATTAATGAAAAGCACTGGTTATTGAAGAAACTTGGCATTGCACCATGATTTGCACTTTTTTTTTATTGTTTTTGAATCAAAGCCGAACGGGTTCCTTCATATGTGATTGTACTTGAGTCAAGGCCGAATGGGTTCGTTCGGATTTGATTGCTTTTTGAATCAACGCCGAACGAGTGCATTCGGAATTGATTGTATTTGAATCAAAACCGAACGGGTTCCTTCGGAATTGATTGTATTTGAAGTCAAGGCCGAATGGGTTTGTTCGGATTTGATTGCCTTTTGAATCAAAGTCGAACGAGTGCATTCGGAATTGAATGTAATTGAATCAAAACCGAACGGGTTCCTTCGGAATTGATTGTATTTGAAGCCAGGGCCGACTGGGTTTGTTCGGATTTGATTGCCTTTTGAATCAAAGCCGAACGAGTGCATTCGGAATTGATTGTATTTGAATCAAGGCCGAATGGGTTTGTTCGGATTTGATTGCCTTTTGAATCAAAGCCGAACGAGTGCATTCAGAATTGATTGTATTTGAATCAAAACCGAACAGGTTCCTTCGGAATTGATTGTATTTGAAGCCAGGGCCGAATGGGTTTGTTAGGATTTGATTGCCTTTTGAATCAAAGCCGAACGAGTGCATTCGGAATTGATTGTATTTGAATCAAAGCCGAATGGGTTTGTTCGGATTTGATTGCCTTTTGAATCAAAGCCGAACGAGTGCATTCAGAATTGATTGTATTTGAATCAAGGCCGAATGGGTTTGTTCGGATTTGATTGCCTTTTGAATCAAAG